TGCAATGCTGTGGCCAAAAGGGCTAATGAAATCCTTGGAATTCCAGGGGAATACTGAGAAGGAGTAGAGGGGTTATTTTACTCTATATTTGGTATTGGTGAGACTGCTACTCGAATACTGCATCTAGTTCTGCTGCCCATAATTCAGGAAGGATGTTGATGATCAATTGTAGAAGGTTCAGAAATGAGCCCCGAGAATGATTAGATTGGAAAACATGTCCTACAGCGATACTCAGTTACCTCAATCTGTTTATCTTAACAAAGAGACAGTTAAGGGTGACTTGATCACAGTCTATAAACATCTGTGTGTGGTATGGAAATTTGATAATAAAGGACACTTCTAGCAGACAAAAGTTATAACAAGATTCAGTGGCTGGAATTAGACAAATTCAGACTAGAAACAAACTGTGCATTTTTTTTTGTAACAGTGAGAGTCATTAACCATTGGAACAATGGTCAAGGTAGATTCGCCACAATCGGCAATTTTAAAATCAAGATTGGATATTTTTCTAAAAGATGTGCTTTCATTCAAACAGGAATTAAATCAGGGAAGTTCTGTGGCCTGTGCTATACAGGAGGTCAGACTAGATGACCATGGTCCCTTCTGGCCTTAGAATCTATGAATCTGCATGTACGGTCTCAGACTAGAGTAAATTGAATTTTTAAATCGAATTAGATTTCTTTCATACCTTTCCCTCCTCCTCACAGAATCAGTACAGAGTAGAATTAAGGTTGCTTTGGGCACAGTTGACACACTGAAAACCTCTAAGGAAATGGGGCTGAATACAACTGCTGGTGAAATAAATACCTATCTATTTTTTAAAGAGCTGCTCTATTTCTATCTTCCTTCTCCCCATCTGAGTTAAGAAGAGATCCTGGCCCACCAAGGAGTACCTGGTCACGAAGAGCGGGATTTACAGCTGCTTTGCATTGTCAGAGCAGCAGCACAAAGCAGCTGAAGCGTACTGGTGAACCTGACCCTTAATTTGCAATTGACCTATTGGTGTGCAGGGCTCTGTTACTGATTCCAGCACTTGTGAAGGGGTTCAGGGAGAGCCCATTGCTGAGTCCAGTATCTCTGTGCTCCTGCCTCATTTTCCCAGTACAGCGCTGCCTCTGTGCACAGTGGAACCGAACTATAAGTGCCATAGGAATCCTGTCGAGTACTCATGCCCAAGCTAATGTGCAGCCACCTACTATACAACTACATAATCTTTAAAGCGTACTACCAGTTGGGCCAAATCTACCAAAGACCACTCTCAGCACATGTGCCCTGTCTTCCTCATACCACTGAGGTATTACAACCAATAGAATTGTTGCATGCAAATTAGCTGCAGAGGATGGGTGATGATTTGTTGAGTTACCGCCAATGTCACACCAGCCTCACTTAAGAGTTACCTGAGCTGTTGACAGAAGCGTGTCCATAGCAAATATACTCATAACAATTAGAGACAACAGTAATTCATCTTAAATACAACCATATTTCCTGAAATATAGCCTATGCCCAATATGAACTATATGGAAATTTTAAAAAATCTGTTATCCCATTGCTAAGATCATTTGGGACAGGAAAATAATGAAGCAGGTGCAAATTTCTTTAAAGACCTACTTAACTAATTTTAATTCATAACCTAATTATTGAATTTATTCGTAACTGCTTGGAAAAATCACTTTGTATTTAAGGAGTAAGTACTAGAATTTTGGAGAGAATGTGCCATAGTTTTCCTATAAAGTGAAGAGATCGAATCCCTGCTTTAAGTTAAAAACAAAACTTAACCTTAACAGTGGAGTAGCAACCAGCAGATGCATAATGCAAATTGAAATTCTGGAATCAAGATGCAGAAACCAGGGGAAAGCAATGGTTCACTGAAACATCTCTAGCTAGCCCAATCTGATCCCTGATAACTAGGATTGGAAGGATTAGATTTTGATTTGAATATGTCAGTAAACGTCTATTTCACCATACACACTTAAACCGCTGAAAAAATATTTCCATAGATGATAACTGAAATTTACAGATAGGCAAAAGTAAGAAAAATGGTACTTGAGAAATCCAGTGATTTAGAATTTTGTGTTAGACTCATTACAAATGGACTAGCAAATGAATAGTAAAAAACAGGTATGACTTGTTGATTTAAGGATATATGTATTATATATTTTGATATCTGATGTTGACAGTTTGTGTTTTAATGGTTATAAAGCTTTAATTTTTTGGACCTCAGGGTCTCCTGTCATTAAACAATTTCCTGACCCCACAACTGTTAAAAAAAAAAGATAAAAAGAAAAAATAAATGCTTAAAACCTATAATTTTGTAAAATTGAGAAACTTTAAATTGAAAAAAAAAATTAAAATGCTTAAAAATAACCACTGATATTATCCACTGAAATTATATATATATATATAAAATTGAATTCTGCCAAGCTTAGTGCTAACGCTTCCTCATTGCCTTGGTATGCTGAGAGCACCTCTCCTGATGAGCACTCTACTCCTTCTGCCTGACCCATGCTGAGATCTAATCATAGTAGTGTCTCTGATCAAGTAGGTAGTAGAGTGGGAATCATCAAGCAAATGGAGTTGGAGTTCCTGTGTCCTTTGTAGGAAGCAAATAAAGAAACCCCTGTGTCCTGCTCTTTTCTGTGGGAGGAGTGAGAGAACTGAAATTCCTTACTCTATTCCTGACTCCTTCATCCATGGGGTCAAATGAAGTATCCACTCTGGGTACAGAGAGCAAGAACCAAGAGGATTACATTGGCGGGTTGGGAAGAGGAGGGAATTTTTGTTTAGATGATTCATTAAAACTTTTTTCCATAGTGGATGCCTCCTACAGAACATTTGGTACGTAAATTTGGACCGGATTCAGTTTTCATTTTTGCTTTGCAATTCACCTTTAAAGTAAACTCATATGAACTGGGGACTTTTGTGGAGCTGCATGACTCTCCCTGGTCTGTAGCTGCTTCAGGCTGAAAGTGTTCGGGTTGCAGTTTCATGGGTGCAGTGCCTTTTAAGGGCGGGTGTGACATCAGTAGGAGTTTCCAGCCTCTGCATATGTACTGTCCAGGAGGTTTTTGTTCTCCTTTTGGTTGCAGAGGAGACTCTTGGTGGCAAAGTGTGGAGAACCTCATGCAACTCATGATGTGATGTCTCACTGACATTTACAGCTACGCCCACTCTTCTCTATAATAAATCAAAAAACAAAAAAACCCAGCTCCATTGGGTGGTGATAGCAGGCCAGAATCCCAAAGTTTCAGTTATCGGAAGTCTAGCAATGATAGTAACTGAGCTAGAAGGAGACACAAGCAGGAAGAAGATGGACACACACAAAGAGGAGGAGCAGCAAGACATGCAGCTTAAGGTGGGCTGTGTTACACAGAGTAGCACACCTGATTGATAAAAAAAGAACTCTCCTAGGGATCCCACACTAGTGAGGGGGCAATGAAGTGCCTGAGTCAAAGAAGAGCTCCCCAATTAAATGGAAAACACAATTTTGTATTTGCTGACCCTGGCATTTTTCTATATGTTTCCTACTGATTTGCCATAAGGCAGGTGGGTGGAGCAGGGGCATGTGCGCCAGCAATGGATTCCCTGTGCATTTCAGACTGGAATCATGAAATCTCATGCTTTTGGTTTGGTTTGGTGTCTGAATTGTGAACTCTGGTTAATGGCAGGCATGCCTCCTGCAAATCAGGGAGCACCAGGGCAGGCTAAGATTGCTTTCCTTCTCTAGCACCTTCCGGGGAGGATCTCAGAGAACTTTACAAGCAATGAGTTAAGCCTTAGGAGACCCTTTAGGATTGGTAAGTATCATTATCCCCATTTGGGAAACTAGGCTACAGAGAGGTTAAGTGACTTGCTCAAAGCTACTCAGCAACTCATGGCAGAGGTCCGAATAGAACTGCCCACATTTTGCTTTAACCACAAGATCATTCCTTCTGTCCAGACACTGCTCTGTCATCACTCTGGGCCAATCAATCTCAGCTAGCCTCTGTTCTGCTGTCACAGGTCCTCTCAAGCCTTCCAGCTTGCTATTGCCTCTGATGTCCTACCTCCCCGGTGTGACCAGATGGAGGGGGGGAAGCAGAGCTACTGTAGCGCTGCATTGCAGGACTGAGCATGGGAGCAGAGTGCAAAGGGGGATACTGCAAAGCAGGGGAACCACTGCAGGACAGGGCTGGGTTGTTTCCATACTGAACTTTTCTTTTTTTTTTCTTCCATAAGTGTGCTGGCTTTACTGTCACAGGGATGCTCATGAGCACCAAGCTGTGACACTGGTTTGTTAGCACAGGGATGCTCATGAGCAGTGAGCTGCTAGTTTTGGTTTAGTGGGGCTCCTCATGAGCACCAGGGTAGGTATCCAGATTTGTTGCAGGGATGCTCATGAACTATAGGCTGTGTGTCTTGGTTTGTTATTGTAGAGATGCCTGTGAATGTTGGGCTATGATGCTGGCTTGTTGGTGTAGGGTTGCTTATGACTGCGGGGGTGTTGGGTTGGTTCTCCCTCCCTTCCCTTTACACAAAAGATGCATTGCTGCATTTGCTTGGGGTTGGGGAAACACACAGGAAAATGATAGGGATTTTGCAAACAAACAGCTCTAAGAAGAGAGAGAAGAGATGTTTTGGTCCCTAACGGCTTTGACACCATACATCCCCCCTTCAATGACAATAGTGATGATTACTTACTCTGAGTTTTGAAAATTGCGACCTATCCTGCTTTCCATGCAGATGCTGCTGCCCTAGTCATTTTCACTGATCCACATGCTTAGCGACCATTTTTTATGACTTAGATCCATACGTGAGGTTGGAGCATCACAAGAACACATCACCGAGACAGGTCCCTTCCGGGAGGGTTTTTCAGTGTAAACTGGACAATGGAACGCTGGGGCATGTCAGTGGGAGCAGACAGAGCTGTGATCAAGGGTGATGGAGTTGTGGGCAGAACGGGCTTTACGGATATATGACTGTCTCATGACATATGTTGTTGTTTCCTGTTTGCTTCCCTGCAGTCTTTGCAAAGGAAAACCTGGTCAAAGCCAAAGTGGGAAAAATCATCCACCTGCCCTGCTGCCATGAACTACCCAGCCCAGAGTCCCAGTATAACTACCGCGTTTACTGGCAAACAGAAAAAGAAGTAGTGATGGCTTACTCAGCAGGGAAGCTGGTCAGGACCGATGCAAAGTTTGTGAACCGGACCAAGATGGACCTACAGAACCTCACAATGTCAATTTTCCCAGTGAAACTATCAGACACCGACACATATAAATGCATAGTTCAAGTGATAGAGAAGGGACCTTCCAAGCTCTGTGACAGGACTGTGGATTTGGTGGTTGAAGGTAAGTGGTGTGATCCAAATCATCAGAAGCCTTTAATTAATACGCAAAGACCAAGGGGTTAAGATGGACGACTAGACGCACCATTGACTGGGGCAACAGAACAGTCAGGCCATAGCATCCTTGAGAAGCATAAGCATGGCTAGACTCGCCATTAGGATTCTAATTCCAATAGGATTACCTGCCATCCCCCTTCATTAGCTCTGTCCTCCTACATGGCAGTCCACACTCTGGGCCAGATTTACACCTTACGCACCCCTAGGCACAATATCTTCAGCGCCCCTCCCCACCTATGGACCCCCCCCCACTGCCTAGCGCTCCCCCAACCCTCCACAACTGCCCACTGCCCAGCGCCCCAACACACACAGACCTCCCGCACCCGCCATGGCCTAGCACTCCTCACGCCCAGAGCCCCCCCCCCCCCCCACAACCCTCCTACAGATCCACTCTCCTGCACCCTGGCCGCACTCATCGACCCCACTGGGAGGTGACTATGTCCACCGGGCTGAGCCGGCAGCACAGCCGGGGCCAGTCGGGGATTGCTCTGGCCCCTCAGGAGAGGCGTAATCAGACAGGCTGGAGCAGGAGCGGGACCTGCCCAGGCCGGGCTCCCTCAGGACCCACTTGCCCAGCAGGGCCCCCTGCATTGCATTGCTGAAGCCTTCCCCTGCCACCAGGGGTTGCTTTGCATTCCCTGCTAGCAGGAGCGCTCCAGCATGGCTGTGTGGTGCCATCTCCCACTCCGCCGCCCCCGCCCCTGCCAGGACTGGAGTGACAAATTGAATTTTTTTTAGCACACAGCTGGGTAACTGGGCTGCATGCAGCCCGCGGGCCACAGGTTGAGAATGACTGGCGTATGTTTTAACTTTTAACTAATTTTTAACGTTTAGGCACCCCTAGAACGCCGGTGTCCCTAGGCACGTGCCGACTGTGCCTAATTGGAAATCTGGCCCTGTCCACACTACTTCAAGCATTGAAAGAGGGTCTCCCTTCCCTTCCCCTTCCCTTGCCTGCTAGTTGTCTCTTTGGCATGGAGTTTATTCCATCACTGGTGACATCACTGGTCTGTGCTCTGAGCTATTTGGCCCCATCCTGCTTTCCAGCGTGAGGCACAGAGAAGTCAGGTCTCTCTCGTAGGGCAGGAGGAAGTGTTCCCCGCAAAGGCAGGCATGGTATGGTGGGAAGAGTGCTTTCTGACCAGGCCCCACCTCTCAGCAGCCATAGGCCCTTCCTGGTTTTGCTCCATCACCCTTGGAGAGCCCCACAACATTGTAGGGGCCTGGCTAGTGCTCTAGGGATCAGACACCTCCATGCCCTAAGGGTTAAATGAATCTCACCTCAGATCTGTGCTTAAATGGCACCTGGTTGAAAGAGGTTCCAGACCCAGCCAATAAACATTCTATAATTCAAGCTGTCATTGAGGAGTGCACGTCAGCCCTGCATGGGGGGAAACTCCCTCTGATTGGCTACTTTTCCACCTGCTGGGGTGTAAGCAGCCAATCAGAGCTAATGCAGGGAATGGGCAGAGATCTTCCTCTGCCGCCCCCTCTCCCCCAGGAGCCTATTCTTCCAGGAGGGGAGTGGGGAGCAGGAAGAGCCCAGCAGCTCAGGATGGCCCTGCTCCTTCTCCCCCCCCACCTCCCTCCAGCCCCTCCTGTGAACAATGGTGACAGGCTGGTCTGGGAGAGGGGAGTGAAGAACCAGAGGAGCTGCAGGAAGAACAGACATGAAGCTGGGAAAGGGCAAAATTGATGGGGAGCCGGGGGCAGAACAGATGTGGGAGCAGAACTGATGGGGGGAGGAGAGACAGGCAGATGCTGATGATGTCACTTTCATTTCTGTAGAAAATGATCGTTCCCCCCCCCACACACTTTTTCAGACCACTGTAAGCACTGCCCCAGGGAAATGGTTTAGTGGAGGAACAGGAGTGCTCAAAACGAATCTGAACCTTTGGTGGAAGTTAGAAGAAATTCTATTCGCATCATCATTTTCCATTTGCACGGCTGCCTCTCTGATAGTTGGTTTCAACGGAGAGCAGAGACATTGATTTCTTTTCGACCCGTATGACAGCAGAAAGTCCCAGAGATCTCGCAGGGAAGCCTTTATCTAGGCCCATGAATAAGCACTGGAATCTTCCACATCTTGAATGTGCATCTCTCCTGAGGTTTTCCCACCACTAGTCCTCAGCCTGCCTTACAGCAGCATGTATATAACACCCCCTGGTGTGCAGGGACACCTGAAGGAACTGTATCCCTATCAGCAAGTGAGAACTGAAGTGAAAAAAGAGACTTGTCCAGTTTCTTGCCTCCTGTATTCCCAGAACACTCCACTCCCCCTCTTGTGGGGTGCATCACCTATGGAGAGGAATAGTCCTAGGGCTGACAAATCAACTTAATGGGAAATGTGGCACGGCACTAAAAACAGCCCAGCTCTCTTCTGTTCTGCCATCTCCCACCCCCCGCATTCTAACAGGCCTTTGTAATAGCTATGGGGAGTGGGAGGGGCTTCAGGCCTTTTGGATAGAGGGATTGGTAATGGGATATGGAGCCTTTCACTTCTAGGCTGCTAGTTGACTAGGACAAAAGTGACTGAAAGTTGTTACCATGTGATGACTGCTCAGTGCTCCTGTGTGAAATGAGCTAGTGGTTTCAGTCCAGTTTCTGGTTTAGAAGTGACTGTCTCCAAAACAATCCTTTGTGCTAACTAAGGCAGTGGGGCCCAGTGGATAGGGTGCTGGGATAGAACTGAGGAGGCCTGGGATCTTTCTCTTTCTGCCACTGATCTGCTGTGTGACCTTTGGCAAAGTCACTTCATCCCTCCATGCCTCAGTTTCCTCTCCCATGCTTTGATTCTTGTCTACTTAGATTGCAAGCTCTTTGGGGCAGGGACGGTCACTAACTATGCATCTGAACAGTGCCCAGCATCATGGGGCCCCGATTGCAGTTGTGTGTGTGTGTGGGGGGGTGTCCCTAGACATGACCGTAATACAAATCATTAATTAATTGGCTCCCTTGCTGGATGGCTCAGAAGAGGCCAATGTTATCTTTTCTACACATTTATGCAATAGACTATTAATAACCACAAGCGGCAGCCCTATATTTCTATAGTACTTTCCGTTAAGAAGGCCACCTTACAAATGACCGTATATCTAGAGAGACCACGCGCCACCACTGAATGTGGCAGCTGGTGAAACAGTGCACTGCAATACTGGACAATAGTTTAGGACAGGAAGTGAAGGTGAATACCAGAATTCCCTATCCACCTGAAACTTCAGAAGGAATTTGGAGGCGCTAGAATGCAAAGTCCCATGGGCTCTTTAATGACAAGGGGTCAGGAAGACTGCAATTTTGTGCCTCATCTGACAGAATGGTAATTAAATCTCTCTCACTACCTTTGCTCCAGCTGACTTCAGCAAGCCTGTCATATCAGCAGATGTACCCAAAGATGCTTGTGGCTCAACTGAGGTGACGGTGAACTGTTATTCTCATGGTGGCTTTCCAGCACCCAGAGTCTCTGGGATCCTCAATAATATGTCTGTGGACTGGCAAACCAATTTATCTGACTCAAAAGACAGCCTCTATAATGTCACCGCCAAATTGCAGCTCAATCTGACTGAAGACATTTTCCTCACATGTACCATTGAGTATGATGACTTCGAAGTGTCCTCCAACTACATTCTGAGTAAGTTTCTGCCAATCATACGCAGTGTGTAATGAATTTGTGGAACTCGCTGAGGTACATAGCTCGGAAAGAAGGGTGCATTTACTCGTGTCAGAATAGTGTCCACAGTTACACAAACATAAAACTTGCAAGCCCTCTCCTTCCTGCCTCAAGGTCTATTACTGGCTGCAATAATCAGGAAGAAATTCCAGCTTCCCACACTCAGTAGTATTCCTAACGTATGTATGTAGTAATGTACCATGATTGTATACAGTGCAATGCAAAATAGAGGATCATACAATAAATGGGCCTATGCCTGGAAAGGGACAAGTGAAAACAGACAGGGAGGGTGATGAAAGACAGTACACTGAATATGAAGTAGCCGTTACAGTCTAAATGCTTCACAGTACAAAGGAGCTTGCAAGAAGACGCTTAAAGCCAGAGATTTAAAAAAAACATTTTTTATTAAAAACAACATTTAAAACATGTTTCTATGCCCAATGTTCTGACTGTATGGATCCAGGCATTTCCAAGGGAAGCTAAGGAGAGATACGGCCACCCTTGTCCATGGTGAATAGTACCTTATTCATCATAGGCCTGCTGAACTCAATAGGACTTGTGAAGGTACCATTCAGCTTGAGCAAGGAGCTCAGAACCTGGCCCTTAGAGAATATTGCTAATAGCTGGAATAATGTCTAAATTCCCAGGAGGAAACAGGTATGAAAAAAAGGGCTCAACAGTATACTGCGTGGAATAGAAGAGAAGGAGAAAAAATCCCAGCAAAATAATCATAATAAAACAATAGCTTGAGGTAATGACTGATTCTTTGAAGGCAGGGAGGGGAAAAAACAGTGACAACAACAAAAAACACCTTTTGATTTTTAAAGCGAGTGGCCACTTTCACTTCAGTTTGTTGGGAACAGTCCTTAAAGCAACAAATGCTTGGGAGTCCCAGCTCCGGGCTAGCAGGCTCACACGTGAAGCTGGCAAGATTATGGGGAGAATAAAGCCAACGTCCAGGAAGTTGTATGCTGCTTAATTTAGCCCAATCTTAGAATCATAGCTATTAGTGAGGGTAAAGCCCTATGAGATGAAGCATACATTTAGGCCATCTTCCTGCCAATGCAGGAGAGTTCCTTACTGTAGAAGTGGTAGTACATGTCTAGTCTTTTAAATGTTCTAAGTGACAGGACTTCCACCATCTGATGAGAATGGCAAGAGCATCTGAATCCACTGAAATAAAATTCCAGACCCTTACTCTCTTTGCCCCCTACTCAGAGAATGATAGATCAAATATGCCTTTTGCATTTAGAGGTCTCTTTTATGTATAAACTTGGAGGTATACATACTGCTCTGGCGTAGGTGTAAATGTGCCTGAAACAAGAGAACCTGAGTAGTGCCTCTATGACTGGAAGTTTCTCTAAATGCAGACTCATAATTACCCACCCAACCTCCACTGTTCCTTAAAGGGAAAGAGCTTTGTTACTTCCCCACATAAACACCCGCGGCCAACAGAAGCTCCTCAGGGCAGGAAGTGCCTGCTCTGTTAATCAGATAGATTATGATACTTAGTTGCTACTGTGTATTACCTCTGAGTGCACCTTTTTATGTCAAATTTGCCTATCTGCTTTTAGATGTTCATAGCCTTGCAGAACTCATGTAAAACACAGTTCATCCATGCCCAGTTCTGGAAAAAAATCCAGCACTTAAAACTACACAGATGTCAGACAAATCTTAAACCCAGAAAAATACTCTTGGGGAATGGGAGGCTTCCTCACAGCTTGAGTTGCAGCTTTGTCACTTTTGTGAACCAGGGAGCATACCCTGCCTGGAACTCCATATAGTTCAGAAACTATAAAGAGTGGCTGGATAATATATTGCAACTAAGCATGTTACTGGCAAAAATGGCATTACTTGGCATTAGAATTTGGACAAAACAGGATTCTCACACCCACACTTGTGTGAAAATGGCACTATGGTGAAGGGCCCTTCAGTTATATTTATCAATCCTTTCTTCTCAGAAAAACTAAAGGAATGTCCTTCTTCTCCAACACCTCTGCCCCAGGGGGTCATTATTGCCTCGAGTTTGGTTCTCATCTGCATCTTCCTTGTGGCCATTGCCTTGCTTTTAAAATATTTCCGGTGTCATGGTAAGTACAGTTCCTTTAATGAGAGTCACATTCATGGGCTGCTTTTTGATGACTCATAGGAAAGTTGGTAAAATGTACTATTTGGAAACTCTTCTGTTGATAGATTGTGGAGGGAAGTGCAGAACATCCAATGCTCTAGTTGTATTAATTGTAACAGCCAACGTCACAAAGTATAGATTCATATCAGGGCTTTCCTAAAGGCTGGCAGCTATGTGGGTCCATTATAGGCAGGGAGCAACTGAGCCATTTGGGTCGGGATCAGAAATTCAGCAAAGTTGAATGATGTTTAGATCTGGGCCGGTTCGGTTCAGACCCGTTTTTATGTACTGAAGCGTATAAAGGAGCCCTTTGCCAGGGCTGTCACTGCTATATAATCATCAAAATACAGTGGAGTTTTTACCATTTAAAAAGACTTTGCCACCTCCCAAAATGAGGCTTATCCTCAAGCCCCCCACCACCAAGCTCCTATTTGCACCATCCCCTTGCTTTCCCCAGAATAACTTGGGGCCAGACTTACACAGCTATTCGGGCACCTAAAGATGCAGAGAGGCACCAATTGGGATTTACAAAAGCAGAGTAGGCATCTAACTCCCACTGAAAGTCAATAGGAGTTAAGCACCTAACGCTCTTGGGCACTTTTGAAAATCCACCTAGAAGCCTCTCTTCATCTCTAGGTATCTAAATACCTTTGTAAATCAGGCCCAAGAAAAATACAGGAGCCTTACAGTGTGTCCTAAGGGTCACACAATCTAGGTTTGGTCACAAGGGAAGTGATCTTCAGAGTCCAGAATCACCCCCGCCCCAAACATGCGCTGTCAGTAGCCACCCTCCTATTTAAAGCAAGCGCTATTGGCCTGCATGTTTGAACTGATCATAGTTGCAGTGCTGTCCCTGAACGGGAGAGGTTATTTCTAGCATAGTTGGGACCCAAACCCCTGAAGGGCATTTGTAACTTTATTTTGCTTGGGAGCGCCACTGCTTCTGCAACTAATTTCAAATGTGCTGTCTACAAGGAGGAGTTGGGGGTTTGTTTTCTATCCGCCTGCCCTGCAAAATCAGCCTAGGCTCTGAGAGTCAAGCAAGGCTATTTCCTCCTGGTGCACCACGAGAGGCAGATTAAGGTTTCCTGAGGCCTTGGGCCAGAGCAAGTGAGGGGGTTCCTTCCCACCCCTTCTGCCTGTGGCCTTGCCCCTTCCGCCTGTGACCCCACCCACAGCCCCACCCCTTTCTGCCCCTTTCCCAGAGGTGGGGTCCAGGGGCCCACCCCTGTCCCACCCAGGGTACTCCTCATTCTGTCCCCTCATTGCAGCCCTGCAACCTCTTTTTCTCCTTTCTCTCCCACCCCCTACAGCCCCAAGACCGGAGAAGCTCTGTCCCCGTGCCACAGCCCTGGGGCACAGCAAGAAGTGAGAGCTCTTCCAGTCCCAGGGCCGCTGCGGGGGGGAGGGCTTGGGACAGGGTCGGGGGCTTCTGGGGGGGCTTCCCCATCCTGTGGTTTCAGTGGCAGAATTTTTCCGGTGGCCCCGCAGTTGGTGAGGGCCGCTGGGCACAGGCCCCATGGGTCCAGTGGCTAATCCACCACTGTGCACCATCACGTGAGAGAGGTTCTGCGAGGCAAATCATGCTCTCAGCTCTACAGCCCCCATTATCTTCAATTTATGACCTCAGTGGCACCTGCTCAGCTCCCTAGTGCTTAATGGGGTGCACAGCTGTTTGGAATGTAGTAAACAATCCTGTTGATGCACCCAAAGGAATAGAGTCCAGCTCACACTCTTAGCTGTGTTGGCTCTGTCATTCTAATAAGGGTAAAAACTTAGCTTTGAGCCTGAGGTCAGTAGACATGTCTCTGAATCCCCCCAGGAAGCAGATCTGCTGAATAAGACGGTGCTATTTTACAGTCACTTTTCAGAGTAGAACTTCACTTTCAGACGCCAAAGTTGGAGTCTCAAACCAGCTTTCAAGTGTTTAAGGTTGAGTTACACCTCAGTGAGAAGGGAGATGTGAAGGGCTTCAGGCCAGGGCTCCTACAGGGAAATTGCTGCTTCCCCCTGCAGCTGGCCCTCAGAGCTCAGCAAATGCTTCAGAAGTGCAATGTTATGGTGGAAACCTGGATTGGGAGCTGGTCCAGCCTTAAAGTCCAGTTTCTTAGCTTAAAAGCTTTGCTTCAAGGAGCTGAAGCAAGGGCTAGGGTGGAAACAAGAAGCAAAAGGGAGGAGCGTGGAGGGTTGGGCTGGAGTGGGTGGTTGAGGATTTTAGTTGTGTGTTTGTGGTGGTGTTCGCAATTTGCCAGACACTCTCCAGACATTTGAGAAGGGACCTCCCTGCCCTGAGGAGCTCACGATCCTAGGCCTGCCTGGACAACCTTTGCACCTAGCTGTATGTTAACACTGCACGATCTCTAACTCTGTTCTGGAAAATGAGCTTCAGAAAAAAAGGATGTAGGGAAAGATAGTAAAACATTTTTCCTCCGTTTCTTTAATCCACTTAACAGAATGGGCCAAATTCAGAGGTCACTTAAATGGCAGCATCAGATTTATGCTGAGACGTTGGTGTGAGCCTGATTTAGTGTAACATGCCAAGGGGACACTGATTGGACTATAGGAGGAAAACCAGCTAATAGGGTGTAAAACTATGGGGAACCTTGCTCCTGCTACACCCTTAAAAGAAACTGTGTTACTAAGACCCCACCTTTCTGCCGTTTGGTGTGTAACTTAGGCTCATTTATTGGCCTGTAACTTACAATAAATGGTGTATGTACTCTGAATTTTCTCAGCATATGTAGGGTTATTTTTTGCATGTCCTGAAGTCCTAGTTCTGCACCAATGGGATTTGATGTTTATCCAGAGGTGAAAGTAAGCCGGTCCGGCGTACCGGCAAGAGCCGGTATGCCGTGCCGGACTGGACCGGCTTCCCTGGTGGTGATTTAAAGGGCCCAGGGCTCCAGCCGCTCTTGGGAGCACCAGGCCCTTTAAATCCCCGCCCAAGCCCGGCTGCCAGAGCCCAAGTGGCGGCAGGGCTCCGGCGGCGCTTTAAAGGGCCCGGGGCTCCCCGCAGTGGCAGGAGCACTGGGCCCTTTAAATCCTCGCCTGGGCCCGGCTGCTGGAGCCCCAGCAACGGCAGGGCTCCAGCGGCGCTTTAAAGGGCCCGGAACTCCACGGCGGCTAGAGCCCCGGGCCCCTTAATTCGCCACAGGGCTCCCAGCTTCATTTGCAGCTGGTAGCTCTGGGGTGATTTAAAGGCCCTGGGGCTCCCAGCCACAGCCGGAGCCCCAGGGCCTTTAAATCTTGACAGGCCCCGCCTCTTCCAGTTGAGGCCCCGCCCCGCTCAGGACTCCGGCGTACCGGTAAGTCCTTTAAGTTACTTTCACACCTGTGTTTATCTGTGACATCACCTAAAAGGCCCAAACCAGCCAATGAGAATATGGTTATAGACAATCACTCTAACATTCTGAAGGGAACAATCCTGCCAAGTGAGTGATGGCACTAGAGGTCAGAGCTCTTCTCCATCTGATTTCCTTGATTATACTCTGATATTCCGCCCCCACCCGTAACCATATTTGAAGGGATCAAAATGTGGCTGAAGGAAGCATTTGGATCCAGTACTGTTGAGTGCACTGGAATTCTGAGCACTTACGAGAGATTGTCTTCTTTCCTTAGGCTGCGAACAACTGCGGTGCTCTCACTACCCTGTCCCTCAAGATCCAGCAGTGGGAACTGAAATGAAAGACGGTGTAAGAGGTGTCACTGACCTCTCTGAAGTAACATCAGAAGCAGCATCTTTCTGATTAGACCATATCTGCAGGTAACTTTCTCCCCTGTTTGTTGATGGCAAAATACATGCTCATATGCTATGCGCTGGTAACGTTAGCACACAAAGTGTTCTGTTGTTTTCTGGGGTCAAGGCTGTAGGGCTTTGTGGCCACTCACATTTGGATAGATGACATGGTCTTCTGGAGTGAGGGTGTCTCCCAGCCGGATAACAGGGATTTTTTTGTTTTGGTTTACATTTAAAGTGAATGTAGTAATGGTGAAAGATGCCAGTAGTCTTCAGTTTCTCTAGGGCTCTTGATCCTTCTTGCAATATAATGGGTACTGCATTAGTGTAAGTTCTCTTCCTGCCACCCCTCCAATTTGCCCCACCTCCAGAGCTCACACCAGCAGGGCCGAAAGAAGAGCTCTTTGATAAATCCAGCTCTTGGTTCCTCTCTGGAGACCGGAGACCAAGAGGCTGGTTATTGCCTTAGAGATGGGTTTGTTCATTTCACAAACAGGCCAACAAATAGCTCTCATTGGCAATGTCCTTCAGTCACTACTAAACTGAATCCGATTTGACCTGTTCACCAGCAATCAACCTCTCACCAGTCCCATGTGCTACCTTGGCCCCCTGGAAACTATTTTTGGTGAACTGCACATAGACCATGTGCCTCTCCTGCTACGTATAATGGCCACAAGGATGATGAGGGAAGGGCTGAAGGAGCAGTGGCCAGAGGTGTTGAGGAAGGGCACAACTGTGAGTGAATAACTCCATTTTTCATAATCGGCTCCTAAGGTCCATCTATGCAGCTGCCAGCAGCGAGCTTCCCAGCCCAGGTCGACAGACTCAGGCTCATGGGGCACACACCCCCACACTAGAACTAGCTGTGCAGACAGCCCACCCTCCCCCGCAGACTTCAGACCCCGAGCTGCAACATCTATCTGGCTATTTTTAGCATGGTAGCGTAAACCCTGCAAGCCTGAGTCTGTTGACCTGGGCTGGGAGGCTCACCACAGTGGACTGCGTCGACATACCCTAAATGCTCGTCCATCTTTGAGGCACTTATAGAATCATAGATTAGAGTTGGAAGAGACCTCAGGAGGTCATCTAGTCCAACCCCCTGCTCAAAGCAGGACCAATCCCCAACTAAATCATCCCAGCCAGGGCTTCCCTCCAAACCCTCCTCTTCAGCAGCTTGAGGAGAGTTTTCTCCCTCTCAGGATTTCCAATGTGAGCAGTGAGGTGAGCGGCAGGGTGCGAGGTATCAAATAGCTTCATTGGGAGCCCCAGGAGGAGTAGATGGCTTGAAAGTGCTGTTTATTTTTGACAGATCAAGTGAAAGATGCTGGGGCGGTTTCTGGGGAAGGGTCAGCATGGAAATGGGGGTGTTAGAAAATGGAAGCACAAGTGGGTCACTGCCCTGTAATTACAGAGTGAGGGAAAACTCTGGTTACACTTCTACAATGACTTTGGGCCCTGGGGAGCCCCTCTCCTTACTCCTGATACCTGACTTGATTTACAGCTGACTCTTCCTCTGGAGGACCCAGGCTGATAAACAGGAATCAAAGCAGAAGAAAAGAGAAATGCTATTGAGTAAGGCTCAGAATTAAAGATCTCTGAGACGCTGCTTCCAAATGCCTGGGGGTTGGGGATGGAATTGGAACTGCTCAATTGTTTCTTAAACCCTGTTCTCCTAACAAAGGTTTTTCTTTAGGTCGGGGGAAGGAACGGGGGGAGAAGGGAGAGTGGATCTGTGCAATAAGAGCTATTAATAAATTATTATTATTATTTTGGGGGGAATGATCTGGGTTCTCTCTCTGCTGTCCCAGTGGCCAGTGTGTGCAGCATAGTGACAGTTGCGAAGTCCTAAGGGGCACGTTTGTTTGTTTTTCTGAGAATGAACGGACTCACAACTTGACATGCTGTGAGAATGAAGGAAGGGGAAATCATCATGGTTAGTTTCTCTCATGTCCAAACCCAGCCACCCACTCTCACTGTCCTACGGGGAAGGCCCCATCTGGAACAGATACTAAATCTTGGTTAGCAAGTAGTCCGAGGGGATTTATCAGCACAGATTCTATAGTAGGAGTTTCCCTACTGAATAAATTCATTCCACTGCATTCCTCTTTCTCTAAATCCTCTTGCTTTTCTGTAAATGCTTGGTTGTTCCTAGTCCTGATGATTGAAATAGTGGGCAGACCCAGAGATCAGGTGTCAGAACTGCTGAGATCTGTTGCTGATCGTGGGACAGTCTCTTACACTAAAATGCAGAGTTTATCTAAGTAGTAGCAACCACAGCCCATTGTAAGTCAGATAGTCTGGTTTGCTGTTGATTCATCCTTACTGCACAAAGAAACCCTCTCCCCAGAGAACCTGCAGGCTTTCACAAGGACCAAAGACTGGCCCAGATTCCAACCCAAAGTGTGGTGCCCTAGTGGTGCGTGGCTTGCAGTGCCTGCCCTCACCCAGGCAAAGCACCCCCTCTGCTACTGCTTGTTAGATTAGATGCCATCATGAGGTCTGCAGATGGCTTCTGTTGTCTGACAGTCATTTTCATGGATGTTTTAGGAGTAAAAAAATCTAACCTTTGTGTCCCCTCAGATCTCGTATCCCGTATGCCCTGCACTGCAGTCCCCATTGTCCTCCGTGGCCAAGGCTTATTCCATAGACTGTTTGGCTCTTCCAGAAGAGGATGACGGAGCAGGCAGGAAATCTGCTGAAGTGGACTGGGAAGATGGTGTTTTGTGAATAAACACCACCACCACAGAAGCTTTAGGACAGTAACGCACCAGAGCCCTGTGTCTGCAATGCCACCCCAAAGGAAGCTCCATTTTCCTGATGAGCAGCAAGAAGAAATGTTGCTCCAGTACACCACCTGCCTCCTCAGAGTTTGGGATGTTTGGCTTTGACATTGCCTCTAAGGCAAGGGTGGCCTGTGGTGCTTTACCAGGTAGCCCATCTTTAGTAAGGAGAGGCTGGCCCTTGGGAGATGACAGGTCCCAATGTGCAATCTTGATCCAAGCACAGGCTGCACCTCTTTGTTAGAGCTGAGGGCAGCTGTAGTCTGTTCCATTCTATGCATAGTCCTTGGGCTTGGGCATGATGCCAGTACAGTTCTTGGAGTAGAGTTTGGATTAAGAATGTATTTGAGGACCTGACAATCACAGATGTCTCCTGTCTTGAGTCCCTTCTCCAGTAAGGACGCAAAGTTCAGCCACTCCTTAAGGAAGAACTGAACAGAGACGGGGAAATACGTCTTATGCTTATTTCAGCAGCCATAACATTTAGTGTAGTCTGGAGTGACATTAATACACTGACACCCTGGCCATTTGCTAACTAATGTGCGTACAGCTATCTGCCTCGTTTGCAGCACTAATGCTAGTACTCATGACCTGTTTGTCCCCAAAACCCCTCCAGCCAGTGAATCAAAGATACAGCTCTGCTAGTTCACCCCAAAGAGGAAGATGATATGCCAAAGCTCATCTATCTGCACATTCCAGCCAACTGACAGCATGCAGACACACCCCACTGGTACTTTTTATATGTATTTCCCCTAGTCAACACTCATATGCGGTCAGATTGCTCAGCAGCTATCTTACATGCATGTAACATGAAGAAATTGAAAATTCATCCAAAACCACAGGTCTGCTCCCCTTAACGGTGTGTGGGGATGTGTGGCTACAACACCCTCGTTACTATTGCTTCTCCACAAGGCTTGGGGTGGGCTGAGTCTTTAGTTTCTTGCAGGAAATTTGGCGGTATGGGACTACCCTGGCCTGGGATGCTGCTGATCAGTCTATGGCTGCTGTTCTCAGTCTTTTCCCTATATCCATTCAGAAGCTGAAGCGGGGAAGAGCCCGGCTTGGCCTCTAGCATCGGATAGGACCTATCCAGATCTGGCCTGAATGGTTTTATTGCCTACTGTGTAGGAAAGCGCGATTTCTCATTTTGAGGAGAAAACCAAAACCCAATAAGCTGCTTGCACAATGGAATTTACTAACATACCTCCGCCCCTGCTTGCTTATCATATTCTACTCTATCCCTTCTGCTTTGTCTTTAAAGCTAACTGGTTATAGGCTCTGTGAGTTACAGCTTCATCCAGCCTGTTTTGCAGCCGTTGTTCGGAGAGTGGGACCAGTAATCGCACGGCAGCAGTGCAGAACGGATACTAACGGTGGAGACTGGTTGTGCATCGCAGCGTTCTCACTGGTCACTTTTTTGATGTTGCTGCAACCATGCGCTGACCCCCACCAGTGAGTGCACAGCTGGGAAGCAGCACTGGGACACCCCAATCCTACACTCCTCTTTCTGGTAAATAGGTGTGTAGGAGAGAAATTACTGGAGGGAAACCAAGCCAATAAAGGCAGCTTACGGAGGCTCAGGCTCTGGGTGAGAAGCCAGTGTAAGTTAGGATGGTGATGGGAATAGTGTGTCACATTTTTCTTTTCTTCCCATTCCTACTACCCAGCAACTAGTCTGTACTCTTGCTACTGCCAGCTTTAACTAGTGCATTCTCCTACTGGTCCACTGTCCGCCGCTATGCCACGCTGTACTTACTTGCCCACTCTCCGCTTTGTGTCTCCTTTCATACTGCTCTGTAACTTCCCCCTCTCCTCTGAAGCCTCCTAGAAATGCGTCTCTACCACAATGCTTTCCTGTTTAAAATAAAAACAAAACCAAAAAGTGCCATACTTACTTCCAACCATCTTCCTCCAGCTGTTCTATATTTAATATGCACTCCTGACTGAAGCCTGTAAGCTCTCTGGGGCAGGGTTTTTCTGTGGAGCATATGCTTTTGTAAATCGCCAGATACCCTTATGACATTGTAAATAATTCCTTCTAGCTGAGCTAAGGGATTTCACACTGACAGAAATGCAGGAAATTTAGGGTTTGATTTTTCCCCCCTATAAAACATGTTTTATGTTTTCTACTGTCTCACGGTGTTTTCAGTGAAATGCACATGGTTTCCATGAGACCTTTCAGCTTATTTAACACCTGAATCAATGTAACAGGTGAACTGCTTTCAGTTTAACATCTTCATTTTGGCTAAGATATTCTATGGGGTTTTTTTCCCCCTTAATTGTATTAAAGGATAAACTCTGCATTTGGTTTCCTTTTCTTAATAATAAACATATCTGCTCTATGTGCTGGGAAACTACAGAAGCTCATTAGCTTCTACACTGGCTAAAAGCTATATAGTCACAGAGTAAGCACCAGGGTCTAGATCAGAGGTGGGCAAACTACAGCTGGCCCACGAGATCCTCCTGCCCTGGGGGGGCGAGCCCCCGCCCCCACCCTTCCCCCGCAGCCTCAGCTCGCTCCGCCCCCGGCGCAATGCTCTGGGCAGTGGGGCTGCGAGCTCCTGCGGCAGTGCAGCTGCAGAGCCCGGCCTGACCTGGTGCTCTGAGCTGCGCGGTGGCGTGGCTGGCTCCAGCCGGGCAGCACAGCTGCCTGTCCTGGCGCTCTGGGCAGCGTGGCTGTAGCGCCACCAGCCACCGGTGCTCCAGGCAGCGCTGTAAGGGGGCAGGGAGCTGGGGCTGGGGGGGTTGGATAGAGAGCAGGGGAATTCAGGATGGTGGTCAGGGGGCAGGGTTGAATGGGGGCAGGGGTTCCGGGGGGCACAGTCAGGAATGAGAGGGGGGTTGGATGGGGTGGCAGGGGGCAGTCAGGGGCAGGGGTTCCAGGGCCTGTCAGGGGACAGGGAGGGTTGGATGGGGCAGGAGGCCCGGGGGGGCCGTCAGGGACTGAGAAGCAGGAGGGGGGTAGATAGGGGTCGGGACTGGGCCACGCCTGGCTGTTTGCGGAGGCACAGCCTCCGCTAACCAGCCCTCCATACAATTTTGGAAACTCGACGCAGCTCTCAGGCAAAAAAGTTTGTCCGCCGCTGGGCTAGATCTACAACGGGGACTCAGGCTCAGAGTTAGGCATCAAAGAATGGGCTCTACAAAATCCAGCCTGCTGAGCAGAGGAAGCTATTTATGCTAGTAAATAGGAGAGTTGCGAGAGGTGAGGCCTGAGCCACCTGGGTGAGAGGGAGGTGCTACCTTACACGCAGGATTCACAGCTGTGAACAGTGCCCTAGCCCTAGCCACAGGCACTTGTACCAGGTCAAACCTTTCCTGCAAAACATGGTTGCAGTGGTGCCATTACCCCTGCCCTCCTCCGTTATTCCCACTAGCCCAGTGGTTCAAGCTAGTGTGAGGAGCTTGCCAAGGCTTAGGCACCAAACCATGTGGTGGCATTAGGATGTTACTGGCAGAAGCTTTGGTGCCCATGGAATTTAGGCACCGCGTGAGGTGGCAGCTGAGTGAGCACTGTGAGGCGCTAATAGTTGGACTTGATTTAAAGTGGAAGCTCGGTGCTGTAGCCTTTTGTGGCTCTAGCCCTATGTCAGGTCAGGCTCTAGCCAGTTGGCTGCCACAGTACAGAGTATGTGCAAGGTTGGCAAGTTACACCAATACAATCCTCAACCAAAGGGGCTGAGCTGGAAAGGGGGCCTGCACCTTAAAGCCCAGTCCTGCAAGGTGTGCGCAATGCTAATGCCAGTGGGAGTCCAGGGTACTTGGCCAGTGCCTGGTCAGCACCCACTCTCACCGGACCAGAGCCAGCATGCATGTATTAACCCCCATTTTGTCAGCATTCCAGGCAGTAAAAGAGCAGGTCGGTCACGCTGGTAGGCACAGACTCCATCAGGGGTAACTGATGCCTCTTTGCACGGTCTCAGTAGCCGCCTGAAGGGCTCTTCCCTAATCTCCCTTCAACTCTGAGCCCATGGCCCTCCACGATAGCATTGCCACAGCACAGGTATGCTTGGCACACACACACATCCCCCACACCTCCACCTCATTTCATAACTAAAGGCCTGCAGTCTTTGTGCAACATGCCACTTCTTATCACTAGTAAAAATGCTTTTTAAAAGACACGGTTCAGAACCAACACCTCATTCCCCATTCTGAGCTATGACTGAAGCAGTGGCTGGAATTATACAAAATGAGGAAGTACAGGGAAACACAGACTGGGCAGGAAATGCATCAAGGAGGGTGTTTGAAAGAGCAAGTGAATCAACTTCTAATGCTAAACCACAGCATTTGACCCTCACTGAGCAAAAAAGCTCTATAAAACTAGCTTTGCTCTGATGGTTTTTCTAACACGCATTCCACCGTGCACAAGAAGTTGTCTCATTAATCATCACTCCCAGAACAGTCATTAAAAGAGGAAGAGGGAGCAATGAGCCACATCAGCATATAGCTCATAATTAAAGTTGTGAGGGTGTGGGGTGCTTACAAGGAATGGGGAAGCAAGAAAGTATGTGAGCATGAAAGAATCTGACAACTGGGCAAGGCTGAAAAACAACGCAGCATAACTAGAGTGGCAAACACACGTTTGTTGGGGGTGGGGGGGGGAGTCACGGCAGCATTGTTGATGACCTGTACATAGGTGTGGAGGAAGACCACAACAATGAAGCAGAGCCATGGCTGTACACATTCCTCCCCTTGTAGTATGTGAAGGAACAAGACACGTCCACCCCAACAATGCATTTTTTTCCTCCTATGGAAAAACGAGAGTATAGTTGATAGAGAATATGCTCATTTCTGAAAACCAGTGCCTTATTTAAACAAGTTGTGTGAGGAACCGGGTTTGGGTGGGTGGGATGTGCTCTGCTGACTGAGCTGTGCAGATGTTAACAGCAACCTGGAAGTGAAGGAATAAAACATTTAGGCAGAATTTAATGACATGTACTGTACCTGGCTGAACCCTGGGGAGGGAAGCTACATACTTAGTCCCTGCTCCTGTTATGGCTTGTCAACAGGTTCCTGTCTTTACCTTGTTGGGAGTTTTCTTCCATTACATGGAGCAGGGTCGTGTACCTATGACCTCACTGTTACAGGGAGTAAACTACGAGCATTGCTAAAAACTGGCTTCAGCCCAGCATGAAGTGGTGAAGGGATACAGAGCCATTTCAACCACAGGCTGTTATAATTCAAAGCCAGCCCTAGATTTTCATGACCAAGTTGTTTGCTCTTGCTATGAGAATTGGGGTTGTCAGCCTCAAGAGCCTGAATGGGGCCACGAGACTTAACTCTCCTCGTCCCTGGGAGCCGTCTTGCTGGTGTGCTCAATTACAATATTATATGACCAGAGTAAGAAGAGATTCTAGCAGACAAAACAGCCTAGACAACGTGAGCGGTTATGTCTGTTAAATAGCATTTCCAATAGTTTTCTCCAAGAGGATCCTGTGATTTGTAACTTAACACAATCACAATTTTGGGTTAAAATGTGACCGTAACGCTAAGCTCTCCTGCCAACATGCGGTCATCCTTGTTGTAGCCCCCTCCCCCTCAAGGAAGGACACCCTACTTTAGAGGAACCCAAGGTATGTCCTTGTCAGGCACTTTCTTTGTGATCCTGACACAAGCCTCATTTGGAAAACTGAGAACCATTTATTTCCGCAAAACGCAGAAAGCCTGAGTAGGCCACAGTCACCAAACTCTTCCCACCCGTAGCACTGTTCCTAGCGGAGCAGGGTTGAGGTACGCTGAAGAAAGAGAGTGGAGGGAACTAGCATGGGCATTGTCCATGCTGCACCTGGGCAATGGATAGACAGCACTCCAGCGCTATCAGTGCAGCCAGTTTCACCAAAACTGAATTCTGTTTTCAAATAAGGATAAAAATGTCATTACAGGCTTCCTTGTGAGAGTGGCAGCTCCTAGACTCTGCCATCATGCCACTCACTACAGTGGCATAAGGATATGCACTCTTGCAGCACTAATGAACCCCCCTTTCTCTGTGTATATTGCATTAAGATGTGGCCCAGGGCATTCAAGTGTGAAGTAGCCACTAAGAGTTCTGTTGCTGCCCTCACACAAAACACAGCTCACTGGTCATTACTCCAGTTAAAGATCTTGAACCCTCCCTCCGCCATGATGCATATCCACAACATTGTCGTCAAACTGCTGCTGCCGAAAACAATAGATACAGAAACAGATTCACGCCAGTCTTCCAAGATGCCTTGACTGAAGTCAGAGCTCAGACTAGTTCCTATCTTCCGATGGCAGAGGGTTCTTGGGAAGATTTAACAACTCTTGGATCTTCTCCATATCTCTCTCCATGGTTCCTTCCGGAGTGTTACTGACAATTTCTTCCAAGTCAGACTCAGTAACATTAAGCCTAGCTTTCCTAAAAGGGGAGAGGGAAGATAAAGTAATTTCAGTTTCTGTACTCTCCCTCTAAGCGTATAATTTGCAGCCCTAGAGTCTAGTTATCTCCTCCTGCTCATTGGTAAAACAAACACCAGTAACCTGAAAGCCCAAATCTTTAGGCTCTGTCTAGTTTTGTCGCTATTTGTAAGTTTTTATGAGTCACACAAACAGTGTCATTGACAAGAACCAGGCTTATCCCTTTGAACACACTCCTTTCCCGAGCTGCCAGTCATATGAATGCTCGAATTAAAAAAGAACAAAGAATGGTTACTTACCTTACAGTAAGGGTCATTCTTCGAGATGTTCCACACAGGGCCGGCTGAAGCGGCGGCGGTAGTGCCGCAGATCGCGATCGTGTTTTTTTTTTTTTTTTTTTTTTTTTGCTGCTTGGGGCGGCAAAAACCCTGGAGCCGGCCCTGGTTCCACACACGTGAATCCCACTGATGGTGTCCATTGGGCCCCAGCACAGGAGTGTGGAATATTTTCCCTACCGGGGTCACACATGCGCCGTGCACGCCCTCAATCCCCCATCCTCCCCAAAGCAGATAAAGGGCAGTGACCTCAACTACCACTAACTTCCTTTGCTGCCTAGAATCCTTATTTATAAGCTTCTGAGCTGCAGGAACAGAGGACGGGCCATGGGGTCCAGATGTGCAGAATCTCTCAACGAACCATAGTTTCTTATAAGGTACGTAACCAACTTTCTTCTTTCAGTTACTGCACATGTTGATCCCACTTGTGGTGATTAGCTAGCAGTCATCTTTCTAGATAGTGAGCTCTAGGAGTTATCTGAAAAGGGATTGCAAAACTGCTCTTCCAAAGTTGGCATCAGATCTTGAAGCAGTAAGTAATGAATAATGTTTTGTAAGTGTATGAGCTGAAGACAGAGTAGGAGCTCTACATACTTCCAGTGTTGGAACTTGACTTGGGCATGCTATTATTGATGCAACTTGTGGTCTGTTGGAGTGAGTTCTGATTGTGATAGAGGACTCTTCTTAATATCATGAACAGTTCTAATACAATCCTAATACACGTTTTGAAAAAAATAGCCATCCCTTTTGGTTTGTTACCGTAAGCAATAACAAGTCTTGAAGTTTTATGAAAAGAGTTAGTTCTTTCTGTGTAATGTAACAGCAATATTCTCACATCTAAAGGATGTAATTTAGATTCAGCAGGTGAAGAGTGAGGTTTTGGAAAAAACTGGTAAGTGAATGAATTGATAGATATGAAAATCTGATAGTACTTTTGAAATAAAAGATGGATGTGGTCTCAATTACTCTATCCATGTGAAAAACTGCATATGGAGGATTTACCATTGGGGCTTGTAATCTGCTTATTCTACAAACTGATGTCTTAGTGATAGACTCCAGCAGCTCCATCTACTTATTTTAACAAAGAAAAGGTTAAGAGGTGACTTGATTACAGTCTATAAGTACCTACATGGCAAACAAATATTTAATGATGGGCTCTTCAATCTAGCTGAGAAAGATATAACGTGATCCAATGGCTGGAAGTTGAAGCTAGACAAATTCAGACTAGAAATAAGGTGTAAATGATTAGAGTAATTAAAAATTGGAACAATTTATCAAGGGTTATGATGGATTCTTCATCATCACTGATCGTTTTTAAATCAAGATTGGATATTTTTCTAAAAGCTCTAGGAATTATTTTGGGGAAGCCTGGGCTATACAGGAGGTCTGATCAGATGATCACAATTTTAGGCCGGGAGGAAAGGACGTGCTCGGAAGGGGTTCAGCGTGTCCTCTTGGAAAGCAGGCGGCCCTCCACGCACTGAGTCTGTTTGGCAAAGTGGTCTTGGTTTTCCCGATGGGCGGCTGAGCGGGGCATCTCCCCTGTGGCTGCCCCGATCCAGTTCATTTTGGACTACGTCCTTTGCCTTAGAGCCCAGGGCCTGGCGCCCTCGTCCGTCAAGGGGCACTTGGCGGCCATATCGGCTTTCCACCTGCCGGTGCAGGGGCACACGGTATTCTCCCATGCCATGACTGGCCGATTCCTTAAGGGATTGGATCGTCTCTTCCCGTACGTTAGGCCTCTGGTCCTGCAGTGGGACCTGAACTTGGTGCTGGCCTGGCTGATGGGTCCCCCATTTGGGCCACTAGCTACGTGCTCCTGGTTGCACCTCTTGTGGAAGGTGGCCTTCCTGGTTGCGATCAGGTCCACTAGGCGGGTCTCGGAACTCAGGGCCCTGACCTCTGAGCCCCTGTACACGGTGTTCCATAAGGATAAGGTCCAGCTCCGCCCACATCCTTCGTTCCTCCCAAAGGTGGTCTCCACCTACCACATGGGTCAAGACATTTTCCTGCCGGTCCTCTGCTGCAAGCCCCATGTGTCCAGTGAGGAGCGTCGCCTCCACACGCTGGATGTGAGATAGGCTCTGGCTTTTTACCTGGAGCGAACTAAGCTGTTCATGAAGTCTTTGCAGCTGTTCGTCGCCTCGGCCGAACGCATGAGGGGTCAGCCGATTTCCACTCAGCGGCTCCCCAACTGGATTATGTCATGCATCTGTACCTGTTATGACTTGGCAGGAATCCCTCTGCCGTCAATTGTAAGGGCACACTCGACTCAGGCGCAGGCCTCGTCGGCTGCCTTTTTAGCCCATATCCCCATTCAGGACATTTGCAGGGCTGCCACATGGTCTTCAGTTCACACGTTCACCTCGCATTATGCGATCGTCTCCCAGACTAGGGACAACGCCGGGTTCGGAAGGGCTGTGCTCCGTCCCGAGAATTTGTGAACGCCTACCCACCTCCAACAGATACAGCTTGGAATCACCTATTGTGGAATACACATGAGCAATCACTTGAAGAAAAGACAGTTACCTTTTCCGTAACTGGTGTTCTTCGAGATGTGTTGCTCATGTCTATTCCACATCCCACCCTCCTTCTCCTCTGTCGGAGTTGTTTGGCAAGAAGGAACTGAGGGTGGGGGGAGCGCGCAGCGCACCTTATACTGCGCCATGGAGGCGCCACTCCAGGGGTTGCTATGGGCACTCCCCTATGGGTACTGCTAGGGGAAAAACTTCTGACACCGGTGCACGTGGCGAGCATGCACACCTATTGTGGAATACACATGAGCAATCACTCGAAGAACTAATAGCTCTCTTCCATCTTTAGGGATTTTTTTTTAATATGATAAATATATACACTGTTCAGTTTTCAAGAGATTAATAGTTTTAGGGGAGGCCTTCCTTCCCAAAGACTTCTGGCATCCCTTTTCCAATAAAGGGAAATGTAAACCTACATGAGAAGAATTTTGACCCTGTTTGACTCCCCCTGACCCCAGTCTGCATATTGTAATAAAAGACTCAGTAAAGTCCAAACATTCTTTAAAATACATTAAAATCTGCTGTTTACTTTCCCAGCCACACGAGAAGTGAAGATGTTGGGAGAGTTTTGAGCGGAGGCAAGCTATAAATTCAAACTACTGTACTACAAAATAAGCAAATTGCAGCATTGACTGGAATGACTTTCACTGGACAATAAACGGTGCAATCTGAGGCTAGGAAGACCAGATCAGTGGTTCTTAGACTGATCCCTGAAACAACCTGAGAATCAAATAGTGAGGAACTGGGGCTGGAAGCAGAAATAGACCATCCAATAATCTCTCTTACAAATTGATTTGCCAAATGAAAAAGTTGGAACTACAGCCATCTCTGATCAATGATACAGATTCACTAATTTAGATAGTGCAACATTTTTTCTTACCACTCTGCAAACCTCTGTTCATAAAGCAATCTTCTCTCACGTGTTCTTTTCTCCTGTATGGTCTCACCAGCGAGCTTCTGCACTGCCATCAACAGCCCTCCTGCAGGGATGCTAAGAGGTGGAGGAGGAAGTTACAGATAAGCCATCAGAAGACACTAATAGTAATAGTTTACTGGCAATAAGGAACGAGTGTGTGGGAGGGGGGGCAACCACGTGGTCAGTGATCCATAACCTCCTCCAATATTCAGACCTCCTTTTCACTAAGCGGTGACAATCACTGCATGAAGCTCAACTCCCCATACAGCTATTCAGGAAACACAATACCCCTGCTACAACCAGCTGATGTGCTTTGTAAGCACTCATTAAGCCTCTTATCAGACAAGGTAGGTCGGTATTATTAAAATTTTACAGCTGGGAAAATAGGCACAGAGAAGCTAAGTGATTTGCCCCAGGGCATACAGGCAGGCAGTGGTGAAGCTGGGAAGGAAATCCAGGAGTCCTTGCTCCTAGTCTCCTGCTCTCACCAGTATACAACACAACTTCTCAAGAAAATGCTTCATCCTCTTTACTTTTGGCTAATTGTTCTGAGAAGCCAACTGAAGAGCTGGTTAGTAGAGACACTAAACATGGGGAGAAGGGGCAGGAGGAGAGAGGATCATAACACTATTGGTACTTTTCTGTTTTAATGGTAATCAGCATCTTCTATGGCCATTTAAGGCGCAAGGACTGATCAGCTCTAAGGAGAAAGGGAAATCTCCATGTATCCAGCCATCACCGGAAGAACAATGAAGTATAAAGTACAGAAAAATTGGATGGGGACTTTTGGAGACAGAAATCATCATGGTCCACGAAGGGATGCAGAAAATCCAGCAGGGTGCTGAGGGTATGGGAAGTCTGCTGCAGCCCCTGCTAAGATTCAAGGCTTGACTCGGGCAGTTATTATCCAACATACAGTAGCTAAAGAATGTCATTCTGACCCTGTTTATTGATTTGGTATGTGTGCAGCTTACCCGAATGCTGCTCCAAAGATACTGCCAGCTGCCATTCTGCTCAGGCCCAAATGCATTCTGAACAGGCCTCCTGTAAAGGCTAAAACACACAAGCCACAGAGATGAGTCTCTAAGGAGTCCTAGCACCACACACACACACTGAGGGAACTGCTCTGCCACTTCTACCCCCACCCCCTGAATGCCAAAAGCCAGTCTCAAGAGAACAGAAACCAAATACTGAGCCAGCAGTGGCTCTGCCAATCTCTGAGAGGCCTGAACACGTGTGACAGTCTGAACCCTATGTTCACCACTTTGGGGGGGAATGTCACAATATGGTGTCACGTGACTCAGTAAAGCTGCTTCACCCCCAACAGTCACATTTTGGCCCTGGTTGCCATTCTTCCAATTCAGATTGGAAGGGAAGATGAGAGTGGCAACCTAATAGGTCTTTTTTTTTTAATCTGTAACTTCTCTAACACTAAACACAGCACAAAATTTCTTCCAAAAGAGCTGTAAGAACTAAATGCTTGGGGAGGACTACCAGCCCACCCGCTACTGAAATGGAGCTACCTCTGACGGAGCACAGCAGTTGTTCAACAACAACCAGTAATACTACCTAACAGTTTAAAACAGGAAGTGAGGAAAAATATATCCAATTGGAATCGCAGTATATGCTTGTATAAAGAGAACATACAGAAAGAGACCCTGTTCTGTATCTAGAGCAAACTTAAAAATGATCTTTCCCTTGGAAACATTTGTAAGCAGCAGCATTAAGCTGTTATGAAGAGAAGGAAGGAATATGCATACCCCCTCACTGATGGATTTCTAATGCTCATTTCTCATTTTTTGAGATGAGATATTATACACTGTTCCGCTGCACTTATACTACCCAAGCACCTTTCACTCAAGAAGAGCAACAAACTTTCAAACATTAACTAAGCCTTGCAACTCCCTGGTGGGTTAGGAAAGTTTTATCACCCCTGTATTAGGAATGGGAAACAGGCACACCATGGTTAAATAATTAACCACGGTCATAAAGTGAGTCGGTGGCAGCAGAGGAAATACAAGCCAGGAGCCCTGACTCCCACTGACTCAAATCAAAGACAGTATCTCCTCACTCAGACAGAACAGAATATAAAAATAAAGTAATCTCACCTCCTGCGGCAGCAAAGTGACTGAAGGTGGTTTTATTGCGGTACACGGACAGACCAGTGCTCACTGTGCTGCAAGCGTGGGGTACAGAAAGAGTCAGAAGGCAGACATGAACAAAGAGCACACTCGACAATACAGCCGTATGGAACCCAAATCAGAGGGATTTCACTAAAGAATGGGGAGCTAAGAAGTCAGCCCACCCCATCCTCCCTACAGCCGATCTGTCTGGGACACACACAGTAGCCACTAATGCGTTGACCTCAATCACCTTACAGGATGTGGGGGAGCACTAGAACGCCAAGGTTTTTTATGTAATTTTTTTAAGCCAACATTTCCAAGCATAAATTTAAAACCATATGAAGTCTGCAAGCAGGTTAGACCCAAAAGTGAACCTATCAATCATGACAGTGTACCGTGAACATTTTGTGGGAGCCACAAGCATGGCTGGTCAACTCCTAAAGCGCAGCCTATGTCTCTAACTATTGAGTGAGGATAAAACCATCAACTGTAAGTTGCTGGTTTCTTTTTTTTTTTTTTTTTTTGGGTGGGGAGGGTAATTGCTCGTCAAGCTTAAGGTTAGTGGGAAGGAGGAATGCAGCAGAAATTCTGTATTTGGATTTTAGGAAGGCATTTGATTATCTCAAAAACTTTCTCCCAAAATGACTATAAAATGGTTTGCACATGGACACTGTCATGTAGACTGAAAACTGGCTATAGAATAAAAATCCAAGGGGGTAATGAAAAAGAGCAATGTCTCAAGCTGTGCGGAAGATGTCTGGAGACAGCTGTGGGGAAACCACAGGGGTGTGTGTTAGGTCCAGTATAGTTAACACAATTAAAGTTCCAGAAGAAGGAGTAAACAGTACATCAATTAAATCTGAAAATGGTACTAAACTGTGAGGAACTGCAAACACCAGTGAGGTGGGTCTTTCAATCTTTCCTGATGAAACTGTTCTACTTTGTATTAAATATTCACTGGACTGAAGAATTACTCTATAGGCCAGTGGTTAGGGCATTCACCTGGGATGGGGGAGAGTCAAGTTCAAGTTCCTGCTCCAATGACTACTTCAGTATTTCATGCTAAATGGAACAGCTTCATCAGAAACAAGGTTCAAATCCCTCCTCTGCCTGAGAGGAGCAGGAACTTACTGCAGATCTCCCACCTCCCAGGTGAGTGCCCTAACCATGAGGCTTCAGGGCTAAAGAGGGTGACACCACCACCGCCTCCTCCATTTTTTGAGAGAAAGCATTGACCTGGCTGAAGCTCCACAGCTGTGATCCCCGAGTGGAGAAAAACCTCTTTCTCCAGTCCAAAGTCGGAGAGGAGTGGGACTTGGGCCATACCTCTCTCCTCAGCATTTCCTATTGGCTAGCTTAGGCACCAATCCATTCAGCTTGCTGGCTTTTGTAGATATCCTTTTTAGGCACCTAACTCTCCCCGTGCATTGGGCCTAACTTGCAGTTGTGGATTCTACTAGGTGGCAGAACATCTAAATTTAGGCACTGCAATCCTGAGCCCACGTCCCCTTTGTGGATTTAGCCCCAAAAGTGAAACCAACCACTCTGTTTTCATCTTCCACGCTCAGTGAGAAGTCAAAAGAAAACAGAATATTAATGGAGAAAAATAAATTACATTTGTTTTAAAAAGCTTTTTTAAAGTATGATTTTCAACCTGACAGAGTCCCTTTAACACTTATAGCTGTTATTTTCACCTAAACAGATCTCTGCAGGTTCTTATCCTGATGTTTCCCCACAACCATAGGTATGAAAAACTTACTTGAATATTGCCACAAAAGTAGCAATTCTCCAGCTCCAGCGCCAGCCGTAACGGATGAATCCCCGGATTGCAGCACGATGTGCAGATTGCTATGGGGAGAATGAGAGAAGGTTACAGGTCTTAAACTCACTGTCATTTCACTGCACACAGATGATACTTGAGACACTGGCTATTCCATTAAGATTACCCATCTTGATAGTACTCAAACTGATGGAATTGATACATTGGTTCCATCTTAAGGGGAAACAGCCCCCATTTCTCTCAGCCATTCAACAGGAAAACTGAGAATTAATTTAAATTTTTAATTCCAATTGGTATTTCCAATCCTAGAGCTGAAGGCAGCCATCTTTCAGAAAAGTAATGTCTTTTATGACACTGGCAGTGCAGAAACCTATTGGGACAGAAACTTGAAACTAGTTTCTAACTGATTTTAACTATGGGTTAATAGTCATTAAATAACTAAATGATAACCATTTGGCTTAAACATTAAGAAGGACTCTCAAGCAGTGTAGTTTAGGCCTACAATTTAAGCTTTGTATATAAACAAGGTTTTACAAAATGTTATATTAATAGAAATCTCATGAAATTTTAAAACATTCCAATTAAGATTGCTTAAATCCAACACCCTCTTTTGCAGCGCTTGCAACCCACATGCTGTAGCACGGGTGCAAACATATAATCGCCTGAAACAGACTAGAAACACAGAGAGAAACTGGGTGCTCTAGTTTTTTTGTGGAAGCTGAGCAAAATGCCAAAACTAAATAAATACTATAAATGATTAAAAGTATGTTTAAAGTCATTTCTATTTTAATTTCCAAATTACTAACAGAGGTAAGATTTTTTTTTTTTTTTAAAGAGTCCTTTTAAAGGCATGATCCAGTGAAATATAAAATATTCTTTTTTGTAGCTGGATGTAATGAATAATTGTAATTGTATTCTGTCAAGTGTTAAATAAAACAAAAAATGCTGACAAGCAAAGAAGAAGTTACCAATCTGACAGCCTCATGATGCAGATTATGAGAGAACCTGGTTGCCATTAAAACACACTGGAAATTAGAGACTCAACATTTTTGTAAGCCATTTTTTGAAATAATAGAATTTGCCTAATTTAATAGCTTAAATATAACTTTGAGTACATAAGCATGCAGAATGTGAGCATAACTCAGCACTTAATTGAGGTAGATAATTACCACAGATGGTTACACAAATTATATATTTATGAATATAAATCAAAGAGTTTGGTAGTTTTCAAATGCAATCACAGTAACTGTGCATGAAAATTACGTAGGTAATTACACCCACATTTTGCACACTTACCTGTATTAAAAATATCTTGCCCTTTAAATCTGACTGCCAATGGGAACTGAATGCTCTGTTGTACACTAGACCTCCAAATGAGAAGTACCATACAATGCTATAACTTTACAACGGCAGCACCCAGTAAGTGACGCAGCAGCCAATTTCTTAAATTTGCAACCACAAGCAGTGCCAATCTAAAAATTCATATTTAAGTAAGGATGTTTTTCTTTCAAGTTTTAACATTTTGGTCTAGCACAGCAGGTCAATCTGTCACCTGAAAAAGTTGGCCTGATTAACAGCCCACATGTACAGCAGGGGTGGGCAAACTACGGCCCGCGGGCCGGATCCAGTCCCTCAGGGCTTTGGATCCAGCCCATGGAATTGCCACCCCCGTGGCGCCGCGAGGCTAAGGCAGGCTCCCTTCCTGCCCTGGCCCTGCACCGCTCCCAGAAGCAGCTGGCACCACGTCCCTGCGGCCCCTAGGGGAGGAGGGGGTGGCAGAGGGCTTTGTGCGCTGCCCTGGCCTGCAGGCACCACCCCCGCAGCACCCATTGGCTGGGAACGGGGAACCGCAGCCAATGGAAGCTGCGGGGGGCGGTGCCTGCAGGCCAGGGCAGTGCACAGAGCCCTCTGCCCTGCCCCCCCGAGGCCGCCGGCCACTTCCGGGAGCAGCACGGGGCCAGGGCAGGCAGGGAGCCTGCCTTAGCCCCACTGTACGCCGCTGCCACCCTGGAGCTGCTCCAGGTAAGCGGTGCCGGGCCGGAACCCACATCCCAACCCCCGCCACACCCCGCACCCCTCTATTTCAGGCTCTTTCCTGCTGAAAACAGGCTCCACAAAAAAGGAGCAGTTTTGGTTCCAATATGCATGATTTTGGTCCATACCACAGCATCCAGACGGTTCTGAAAAATCTCTGCTTGGCTCCGCTCAATATATTGTGTCTTCGCGTGGTGAAAAGCTGGCAAACCTCCGTACACCCAGCCAATGACAGCCCCTGAAAACGTAGCTTTGATAATGTTGAGAGTTTCTTCTGGGTACTGCTGTAGTTCACTAGCACAAAGAAACAATGTTACTGGGAGATTTAGCATTTGGGAGCACTGCTAACCTAACAAGAGTCATTCCTGCTAAAACATATCACGCATGGGATCATTTCAGACACTACTCTTCAAATTATTGCATTTACAGATTAAACTCATAATCTGCCATCAACATTAAGCAAACAGGTAACATTATATTTTTTTAAATCCTTCTTGGGCAGGACTGGACAGCTAAAGCGAATGGGGGACAGAGTCTTTCACCTTTCCTTCACAGGTTCTGTTGTAGTCAAGATCAGTAGTGTCCAAAAATCCATTGCATCTAATGGCTGTTTGGAGGTCTATGTGAAATGAATTGGTGGGTCTCAGGGTATTTAAAAACCCACACCCCTAACAAATGTCACTCAAAGGAAGTCTCAGCAAAAAGGCTAAGGACTGAGTGAACCCTGGAGACTGTGCTTTCTCACTCCTAGAATGAAAGGGCAATACAGAATATCACAAAGGTAGTGTTGCCAGCTATCATGATTTTATTGTGAGTCTTGTGATATTGGGTGTTATTCTTAAAGCCCCAGTTCCTGGAGTCAGGTGATCACAGGAGAATCTCAGCTTTTGTTTTTAAAAGGTAAGTTTCTAGCCCTCCGGGTTGTGGAGAAAAGGTCAAAAACATGACTCAAATGCCCCCCAAAATCTCAGAATCCAGACAGCGAATTAAATGGTATTTAAATCAATCTCATGATTTTCCAGTGCTAGGGGTTGGCATAAGCCATGCTCACCCCAGAGAGGAACGTGATCAGTACTAGCAGGTTGCTAGTTTTGTTTCCCCGCCTGATGGAAACAGTGCTATTTTCCCTTATAACTGTTACTTTATGTACTAGTCGTGAATTTCTGAGTGTGCAGGTCAGACTGGGTGCACATCCAGGTGACTGTGAATGATTCACCAACGGGTGTCACACCAGGCAAAGGTGTGAATGGCTGTGCAGGATGAGCACTGGGATGAGGAGGCCAGGTAACCACAGCAGCATGTGTGTGTGTGAGATGGGCAGATAGATAGATAGTGTGTGGGAGATAGCTGGATAGGAGGGAATGCATGGAAGACTGGATAGATAATCACAGCCAGGGGCGGCTCCAGGCACCAGCGCAGCAAGCGAGTGCCTGGGGCGGCAAGCCGCAGGGGGCGGCATGCAGGTCACCATGAGGGCGGCAGTCAGGCAGCCTTCGGCG